CGGGATCGAGGCGTGACAAACTCAATGAAACTGAATAGGATATGGAATCAGGACCAACTTAACAGAATCAAGAAGAAAAGGGTTCCAAACAAACTCAACAAAATCAAGTAGGAAATGAGATTCTAGACCAACTAAATGGAATTCAAATGGAGCACAATTCTTGACTAACTCAATGGAACCGAGTACGAAATGGAATTTCGGACCAACGTAACGAAATCTAAACAGAGGAGGGTTCCAGACCAACTCAACAAAACTGAGTAGGAAATGAGATTCTGGACAACCTCAACCAAATCCAAACGGAGGAATGTTCCAGACCAACTCAATGGAACTGAATATGAAATGAGATTCCAGACCAACTCAACGGAGTCCAAATAGAGCACGGTTCCGGACCAATTCAACGGAACCGAGTATGAAAAGGGATTTCGAACCAACTCAACGGGATCTAAATGGTATACAGTTTCGGACCAACTCAACGAAACTGAATAAAATTATAGGAACCTAAGGATAACTCAATGGAACTAGATATGACAAAAGTTTGATGTCACGACTTCCCAATAACCATGGTTTAATAATTCTCTACTAGCCCTTTCATTTCACAAACATTTCAAATATGCATTGCAAAACAAATTTCATTACTTTCACTTAGAATCACAATAACCACATAAATCTAGTAAGGTGCCACTTGCACGCAAGCTGAAGTGCACATCCCCCAAGATATCACATTGACCAAGGTAGGGCCACTAGACCATATAGGGTCTTTACTAACGTTAATTTCTATATTTATGAACGATTTAGAACATGTTGACCAAAATTCAACCCTCTGTCAACGGGAGATCGGGACCTAGAATCTCCTCATGGAGTCGAGATCTACAACTAATGATGGTGGTTTGCGTTTGTGGTTTGTGAAAATTCAACATGTTTCCTCATGAAGATGGTGTTGTGTATAAACTAGGAACTCAATTAACTTTTTTATTTTAATATAGGGGTAGATTGACCATAAATATTAAAAATTCAAAGACTGCTGCAGCCAATGTGGCAAGAGAAAGAGAGAGTGGAGAGAAATTGTATAGTACATAGCGATTTTGTAATTCTCTATATGACAGTGTCTTTATTTATAGTAAATTACTAGCAGGAATGCCTGTGCTTTGTTACGAGTATTCAACCCATGTATAACATTCATAGGAAAATTAACTAAAAATGCTACAGCAATACAATCACATTCTTAAATGTATCAATTCAGATAACGCGCATTTTACATGAGTAACCCTCACAAAACCACACATTTAGACAATCATCTCCAAATCAAAGAAAAAGCAAGAGATAGGTGAATTGATACATAAAATAAGCATTTCAATTTTCATTGCTACTCTATTAAGTCGACATCGAGAGCCAATATACAATCGAAATTACTTTAAGGAATGTTTACGTTGACAAAAGTTGCAATGACATTCTATAGTTACACCTTTAAACCTTTAAAGAAAAGACATTCTATAGTTACAAAACCTTTATGAATGAATATACCTCAAAAAGCCAAAGCCCCAAGTGTTCCCTTCGAGTATCCAAATTTCTGAAATTCACAAACATAGAAAATCCATCACCACTAATCCTGTAACAGTAGCTAACTTCGAAATTTTCCCTAAATATTAAAGACCACTCACTCCAGACACAAACTATCTAAATCCTAAACCTTACATATACACACATCTACATGTACATACACACACACACACGCACACAGATGCATGCATACATACATATATACATGTACATACACACACACATCATGCATACATACATATACATGTACATACACACACAAATGCATGCATACATACATACGCATGTATGTACAGAAACAGATGCATATATACAAATGTATGCATGCACATACACACACAGATGCATACATACACATACATGTGCATACACACACAGATGCATACATACATATATACATGCACACATATATACATATATTTATATAGATGCCTATACATATATCTAGACATATACTTCATATATACTGATACATAGACTTGCACATACATTTATACACATGCACACATATAAACTGCACTTTTCAGCAAATGGGAGTGTTTCACACTTATAAAAATGTGTAGTTAGTTAAAGAGTTTTTTACATGTACACAGACATACATATAGATGTACACACTCTAAAAACATGTTTAGTTAAAGGGTTCCAATTCAAATCACAAAACAAAAACTTCTTGAAAAAAAAAAAGCTTTTAATGCTAATCACCAAAAAATGGCAGCAACTTAACAACAACTAACAACACTCTAAAATTCATTGGCAAAAGATAATCACATACATTTATAAAATTCATTAGCAAAAGATAAACACATACGGAAAATGAAACCTAGATTAATCAGCAAACAGTTAAAGGAGCAACGTTTTTTAACGATTTTTGAAAGAACCCTAATTAATCACATCGTTGTCCAATAATCAACACCAAATGAAAAACGTTTTGCACAAACCACACAAAAATATTTTGGACAACACAAATAAGTAAGCCACAAACAGTTATTGAATGAAACCTGTAATGCAAAATCCCGAGTTGGCGGTACATTTCCTGCAATCCATAAAAAAGATAAGAACAATTAGTTTTCTTGTTCTCAAACAATCGAAATAAAAACATCGCATTCAAATTGGTCAAAGGGTTTTACACACTAATTACCAATTCAAATCACAGAACAAAAACTTCTTAAAAAAAAAAAAAAAAAAACTTTTTAACACTAATTACCAAAAAATGGCAGCAACTTAACAACAACTAACAACAGTCTAAACATAAGCTAACAATACAGTCAACGGGTTTATTATAGGCATAAATATTTGCACACACACACAGATATGCACATACACAAACACAGAGGCACAAATACAAATAATTTAAAATAGAGCTCAATTTAAAAATGGCATTCTTTTAAGAAAATCAAGATTGTAAATTAGTCTATTGTGTTTACTGATTTTGTTCCAATTCAAATCACAGAACAAAAACTTCTTTAAATTTTTTTTTTAATACTAATTACCAAAAAATGGCAACAACTTAACAACAACTAACCGTCTAAACAGAAGCTAACAATACACTCAAAGGGTTTATTACAGCGATAAATAATGTAATCAAACACGAATGGCAAAGCTTCGATGAAAAAATTGAAAACACAAAAAAAATGTAGGAACGAACCTTGGAAAAATGTTCAGACAGAGAGGAACTGAGAATGAGAAGAAAAACTCAAAAGCAACCAAGTATATAGAGACCCAAAAAAATCCCCAAATTGATTAAAAAAAACAGAAGCCTAACCTAACCAAACATGGAAAAAAGATTTGCAATTGTTTTTTGACCTTTCAATCACCACATGCACGCAACCATAAATGCAAGAAACAATATAAAAAAGTAAAAATTTGGTACAAAATGTAAGTTGAAACAGAGCTTATCTGACAATGCAACAGAGAATGAGCAGTGATCCCGACCTCTACCTCTCCCATCCTGCTCTCTTTCTTTCTCTCTCTCTCTCTATCTGTCTCTATCTCTCTGTCTCTTTGTGATGGCATAAGTTGAACAAAGAAGAACGAAATAATGGGTAACAACCTAACCCCAATCCCTCTGAAACCCCAATAACGAACTGACGACTCCACCCTTTAACTTGTAATCCTCATCGTGCGATCTGAAGCATAGATGGGCAGTCATCCCGACCCCTACCTCTACCCTCTCTCTCTCTCTCTCTAGCTGTCTCTATCTCTCTGTCTCTCTGTAACAACTTTATCTCTCTGTCTCTCTGTCACGGCTAGGTTGAAGAAAGAAGAAGGAAATGATGGGAACAACCTAACCCCAATCCCTCTGAAACCCTAAGAACGAAATGATGATTCCACCCCTCTAACTTGTAATCGTGATGGTGCGATCTGAAGCCCAGATGGGCAGTCTCATCATTTAGACTCCCAAAGGGCTGACCTCACACCAACAAAAGAGAAAGCCCAAGGAAAGTATCATGAGAAGCCCAAAACAACTCAGCCCCAATACCAACACAAATGAGATGGGTTTCTTGTAAATAAGGTGAAATTGGATGGCAAACTTGTGACTGTAGCTAAGCTACAGTCAATTCCTTCCTCAATTTTAGAATAGATAATGTTCAAAAAAGTAAAATTTTAAGAGCTATGTTTAACCCTTATGCTTCTTCTCTGTGTTTTATTTTTTATTTTTGCCAAGATTTAACCCCTTATGTTAGAAATGATATATGAATATGATCTAATATTGTTCAACAAAAAATAATTTCTTGCTCTATACGCAACTATGTTTAGCTCATTCGGTTGAAGATGACCTTAAAAATTGTGTGATTCTCCTTAAGCTAGTGCTTTATTTATAATAAACCATGAAAAAAGAGTAACTTGTTTTTTAAGTAAATACAAAGTCTAATAAGAAAGAATCAGTAAAATAATGAATAATTTGAAATCCATCTTCTATTCACAATAAGTTTTTATCATATTTTACACGGTTGACTAGAGAGAGGATCATCGCTGGATCCTCTTTGTGAGAATTTCGGAGATTTTTCAATTACATTCTTTCATTGTGCATCGTGCGGTCAGTTTTTGTCAAATACGATTTATATTCAATTTTATATAAAAAATTTGCAATAACTTCTGACTTCACAACTTATAATGAACAAAAATAATTTAAGAATTCCCAAGATAACACCCATCCGCGTTTCAAAAACGCCATATCAGAACCCGCAGGGGCGTCTTATTTCAGTTAATCATAAAACGCCCTCAAAAGGTTCACTTAATAACGAATGTGCCACTCACATTTTAGTGACGTGCCTTCCTTCTATTGGCTCTTCAGAGAGTTCACCTCATCAGTACTGTTGCAGCGAACACTGCCATCAAAGCAAATCCGAACCTCTCCGTCCGCCACATGGCGTGTTGTCAGTGCCATGTGGACCCCGCACCGAATCCTTTAAAATCTCCCAAACAGCGCCAAACCCAAAACCCTTCCCTTCTCTCTCTTGGAGGAAAAGAAAAGAGAGAAAAAGAAAGAGACCGGAAAGAAGAACGATCCCCTCCTAATCTCTCTCCCTCCCTCTGGGCACGGATCAGTGAACGGTGGTAAGCATCGCTTCCAGTTCTTTACCCTAAAGATTGAATGTATGAATCAAGATTTTTGGTTTCGATTTTTGTTTTTCAGTTTGATAAGATTTAATTATCGGTGAATTTAATTGATTTTAACCTTGTTGATGTTGTGCTGCAATCTGGATGTTTTTGCTGTCCTACAAAGTAGCGTGGCCATTAATGTGGGTTGAATCTAGCTCCTCCCCTCCTCCATGGATACTGGCGACTAATTTTGATATGTTGGTTTGTCCAATTTTTCAAACTAATTAGATTGTTGTTTGTTCGGATCTTTTGGGATTTGTGGTGTGTGAATTTTCCTGTGTTTGGTTTTCGGGGTTGGTCGAGATTTCGCTCTAAAATTCCAGGTTCTGTTGAGGTATTGAAACTCTGCATTGGGTTTTATTATGATTTATGATATGGTATTTTTAATGAGTTATATTCATTGTCCACATTTTACTTTGTAGAAGCTGCTGCCCACTATTTACTTGAATTTTTTTGGTTGACGTAAATTACGTTTTAAGGATACAAAACCAACATTAGGTACAAATTGTAGTTGAAGAATTAGGAAAACCCCAACACTACTAAGGATAGACAACTCATTAACTCTCCCTTTCTTCGGTTTTCGTTGATTTTGTTTTGTGAATCGTATGTGTTTATGAGTTTTGGGGTTTTTGAGTTTTGAATTTGAGTGTGGTTGGCTAATATCCGTATAATGTACTAGTTGAAGGCAGCTTATCAGATATTTAGTTTATACTTTTGGTGGGTAGATATAACGTTGGTTGTTTGTGATTTAAGAGCTTCAGTTGGGTTAATGAGCTTCATACTATCACTTGTTTGGGACTCTGTAATTTAGCCCTTCTAATAAAAAATTGTGTATATTTAATTCGTTGTTTAGCAGTGTTTCGTTTTTTCTCAGTGAAATGCTTAATCTTTTATAAATTCTCTGTTAATTGCTTATTTTGGCATTCCTTGATCATTTCTACCTGAGAAGACCCTCTGTTGTGTGAGCTTTATGGGTTTATGGCTTATCAATGTCTATAATTTTTGAAAAATTGCAAGCTCCTCAATTTTTATTTTCTTCAAGGTTGGGAAGCCAAGTTTAAAATCACTAAAAGTATATAAATTAATTCTATTATGTTAAAAAAGGCTTGTTTTGGAGTTTCTTCTGACTTTATTTTATTCAGATGGCAAATGATAAGTTGAAACATGAACGAGAGCCCCTTGGCTCTACTTCACCATTACAAAGGATCAAAGAAAGTGAAATCTCGGTTCAAAGTAATGAACCTAATGATGTGTCTAACTTCGTGGGGAACCTTAGTAATAGTAGTGCTGCTGGAGCTGATGATATAACCATTCCAAGTATGACGATGCCGTTTTCACTTTTTCCTTTTGAAGACATTGATGGAACGAATAACCCTTATGCCATGGAAATGCCGCTGACTGATATTAATTGGATGACTGATCTCACTCTACCATTCAGCAACCCTCAGGATCCAATGTTTGACTATGATTCTGTATATGGGAAGGGTAGAAAACCGGTCCAACATAGGTCAGATTCAAATTTTATCGGTTTGGATGTGAAGCAAACTCATCGTCCTCTTGATTATTCAATGCCTCCTGCTAAAGTGGTCAGTGCTATGTTTGATGCGGACGTTAAACCTCCTGTTGACAGGAAATTAGTAACTGCTAATGGAAACTTTGCTGCAGCCTTATATGGTATACATCAGAATGAAGAACTAAATAGAAATATAGGCAGGCCTCAGCTATTTAGAAATTTCATAAGCGATGGAGTTAGCACCCCTGTGGCAGGCCATACCATAGATGGCTTAGGCATGGCAAAAAATAACAATTTCATGACAACCAAAGTTCAAGAGGATTGCCCAGAAAACCTTGATGTGAGTTTCCTAACCCTGGGGTTTGAGCGGAAGACTGAGGATTTATCTAAATCTAATAGATCAGAAACAAATGTTGCTAATAATTTTGGAAGGGATGCCCTTCCTCAACCAAATACTTTCTATAGTCGAAAAGAAGAAAGAAATTTCTTCAATCCCTCTGATGTAGCTGGTGGTTTGCCTTGTCATCAGAACACTGCCGGTGGATTCAACGGGCTGACAAACAACGTTGGTAGCTGAACTTTTTCTAATAAAAATATAACAGTATGTATGATGCTAGTTCTAGTCCTAGGTTCATTCTGAATCCACCTTATTTTTCACAGATGCCACAAGATGACAGCCAACATCATTTTGTTATGCCGGGAAACAGGAATGTTGCTCTTGGAGTTGAAGGGAACTGGGATACAAGATCTGCATATATTGATCCTAGTAACTGTTTTCAGGGTTACCCAGATGTATCTTTAATTCCTGTTGGTAGCAGCTCCGGGCTCCCTGATTCTGGAGAGAGCAGAGCATATGGTTTGCCATCATTTTCTTTTTCGAGTACAAGTACTTGTCCACCTGCATTGGAAACTTCTAGAAACCTCATTGCTGATCCTGGCATGGTTTTTCCTCCTATTGGTGCCACAACAAGCACTTCCCTGCACGATCAGTTTGGTGAGTCTGGAATGCTTCCACCATGCTCTCCTTTTTATTGGTGTATTACATAATGGAAATTTTTGGTTGCATGTTTTAGTTTCACTTCTGGACTGTTATATTCTGTACATAGATACTTTTGATGTTTGATAATGGCCAAGGCAAATAGTTGTGAGATCTTGGACCACTACTGTGGTGTACCATGGAAGCTTTGAATTAAGTTAGTGATAGTAATCAAAATAGGGTTAATATTTTGGGGGGTCTAACAGGTTTTCTTATTTTACTTCCGTCATGAACTTGAATATGGTTTTTTATTTTGCAAGGATGACCCCTCTTGGATGCTTAGTGTCACAAGGGGTCTTTTGGCCGTTAGAGTGCCTTGGACGAATTTCTTGATTATTTTCCCGCCACCAAATCTAGAGTCTGGCTTTATGTAGTGGAGTTTCATCTAATGGTCATGTTTGGTCAGCTGGAGTGTTAATTGTTTAGGTGTCCTAATCCCCGTGAAGGGAGAGAATCTCTCTTCTTTATTGGAGCTGTAGTTTCAGGGGTTAGTAGGATGGATGCCACACAAGTATAAGTAAGATCAGCGAACAAGTGTACCATCTGTTTGGGTCCCTGTCCGTTGAGGTCATATACACTTGGTCAGTACGGACTTCAGGGCTTTTTTTTTTTTATAGTTTTTATGTTTTTACTTAGTTAAACTCTTTCAACCTTTTTCTTTCCGATGCTGTAACCTCATTGAAGCTGGACTTCTACTTAAAAGTATGTTATATTCTCTCAACTATTTTCATTGTGATTCTGTAATCTTATTGAAGATTTGAGCTTTTTATATTTAATCAAATTTAGTACACCCGAGTGTGCAGGTAACTAATTTATGGTCGCTTATGCGACATTGAAACCACTAGGTATTAAACATAATACTTGTGAGGTGTGACTCGTCAATAGTCATTGTCCCTGAGGAACACATTATAGGAATTATTGGCTTATGAGATGACAGTTTGGTTATAAAATTTTCTCTCATCCAAATATCACTAAAAAATTGACTAGAATCAAGTATGTAACAAGCTAACTTGATTCGCCGTTACTGTTTTGATTGATTTGAAGAACTGAGTTGTACTTACTCTTTGGACTGTTCTCACATATTGGGTAACCACAGAGCAACTTCGTTGGTTTTCAAATATTGCAGAAGGAACCCCATGGTGAGAACAACAAAATAGTCAAATATATAGACTTCTGAGTACTACTACTGGGATTAACATAAGTGCTCAATATGCTTGACATATCATGTCTATTTGGGTAGCCTTGACCAAAGTTCTTTTGCATGGTTGGTTCAGCTTCAGGTTTGCCTTGCACACTAATAAGTCACTCAGATCCGTGTTTATAGTTTTAAGCAGGCCAACTTGGGTGATAAGTGGTATTAAGAAATTGTATGCAACAAACCGATCTTCTGTTGCTACCTTAACTTTTATTTGTTTATGTAAAGTAGTGACTTGCTAAAAGTTCCATTTTATGTAGCTTTCCCGGTGACTGACTCTGCAACTCTCTTTAGGGAAGCCTTTCGCAACTAATGAGGTTATTGCTGTAGAAGTTGCTGAAAGAGGCGATGTTCCTGGGAAATTCAGGTTTAGCCAGCTACCTAGTAAGTCCATCTTACTTATATAACTCACAATGTTCTATTCATGCAACCATTTCATCCTTAACATAGTAACTCTTGTGGTCTTTTTGTGCTTTTTTTTTAACAAATACTATCCTGTGGTTTTTGTATTTGTATGAAAAAATAAACCAGAAATAGGTTGACAGTAGAATTAGCTCGGCAAATGTTGTAATCAAGTGTGGAACACTGTCAGTGCACGTATTCTTACATGTTTTGATTTATAGCTGATTGATAGAAAGGGACCAAAGATTGAGGAAGATGGGTAAAATGATAATTGTGCTAGAGTGAAGTTATATAGCATTGACTGATAGGTATCATGAATAGGACTTGTTTTTTGAATTCCAATATTGATGCAGAACTCGTATTATCCCATGACACACCACTGGCTGGCACTTGTTTGCAAAGAAAGCAATCTTATAGAGTGATAAAAAAACTTGGTAATGCATTTGATGGATACTTTTCAGGTAATTATTGTCAACCTCATGTCGTCGGTGCTGTTCAGCCATCTACAAACCTTTCTAGATCCATGATGACTGGTACATTACGATTGAAACTCTTAAGTCTTGATCATGCTTGAATGTATCTCTGCATATGCTGTTATTTTGATAACTTGCACTATTTTAGGTGAAGAGTTTTTAGTTACCAAATGTAATAGAACTGCACAAGGTTCTAGTGCTTTTGTTGGAACACATCTTAAGAGGGTTGCTGAACAACCGCAAGCGGTGACTGCCAGAGCTCAACTGTTAAAGAGAAGAAGAGCTCAATCTTCTGTCGATCCATCTGCTCCAATGTTGTCCCTAAATGTTTCAACTGTCCCAAATTCATCCAAGGCCTCTTCTTTCACAGTCCCAGATCCTACAGCTCCATCCCTCCCATGGGAAGCGAAAAGTACTACATCACTCTCACCCCTATTGCAGATTTCTCACACTCTCCCAGCCCAAGGAAGAAGTACTCCATTATTTCCACCCCTGTCACAGACTACGTTTGCCCTCCCAACCCCAGTCAGACGTACTGCAGTACTCCCAGCCTTATCCCAGATTGCTTCCTCTCTGCCATCCCGAGTGAAAACTACTAAATTGCATCCGCCTCTATCCTTGACTGCTCCATGTCTCAGACCCAAAGCCAAAACTACTACATCGCACCCGGCCCTATCCCAGAATGCTCCATCTTTCCTACCTCTACCCCAAATTGCTCCTCGACTCGCATCACACCCGACCCAGTCCTGGAATGCTCCCTCTCTCCGACCCCAGGTCCGAATTGTACCCCCACTCCCATCCCAACCTTGGGCTGCTCCACCAGTCCCACAGATATCTCAGAATGCTTCACCACTCCCACCAAAATCTCAGTCTGCTTCATCACTCTCTCCCCAGACTGCTCAACCTCCCCTTCCACCACCCCAGATTGCTCCCTCTCTCCTACCCAAACGCCAGACTGGTCCACCTTCCCCACCCCAACCCCAGACTGCTGCACCCCCTCTTCCACCACAATCCCGGACTGCTTCAGCTGTACATATAAAATGGAAAGGTTAGCTTCATTCTTGTGTCACATTAACAATTTTTTCTTCATTACGTCTTTATTTCTAACCATACATTGATATTTTAAAATTTTCAACAAAGTTGTTTTAAATGATACAAGTGTGGATTATGCGAGTACAAACAATTTGACATGTCATGCTATTTCTAGTCATGGTTTTCTCTCAACCCATTAGAGCACATTTAATGCAACATGAGTAAAAGACCTGCTATGCCACATGACCTAATGCGTGCTTACACTTCTCCAGTTAAGTTTAGATTGTAGGATCATTCTCTGGCAACATGAGTAAAAGACCTGCTAGTCATGGTTTTCCCAGGTTGTGTTCGGATGAGCATACTTGAGGCCTTCTTTTACAGTTTATACAACTGCTTCTGATAGGTTCTGAAATAATTGAATACTGCAACACAGTTAAAGTTTGGAAGTCTAGGCATACCTGAGACATAGATACTACTAAATCTGTTATTTTTTTAAATGATCTGATACATAATATATATGGTACTGTAGTGATTTTGATGGTTGGTAGCATGTATAGTACCGAAATACATGTGATGATAGTAGGAATTGTTTTTCTTTTGCAGGTTTTGGTCAAACTCAACCAAGTGGGCACAAGTGTTTGATATGCAAGAGGGATCTTTCCTTCACACCTGAAGGCCCTGTTTCCATACCAACTATTCAACCAGTTGTTGCTGTTCTACCGTGTGGCCACACATTTCATGACCACTGCTTGCAGCTCATCACCCCTGAAGACCAAGCTAAAAGTCCTCCGTGCATTCCTTGTGCCATCGGTGACAGTTGATTCCTTGTGCCGTTGGTGAGAGTTGACTCGTGCCCTGGGAGAGTGTTGATGCGAGTCTTGGTTCATAACATGTTGAATCCTCCATGCCTTGTGGCACTAGTCATGAGAAATTCCTCTTCTAAATTTTGTTCGAATCAGTCGGAAGTAGGGGAAAGATTGGTTGTGACAATTTCAGACCTGCTTTATCTTTTCATTAAGGCTCATAAGGTGATTTGGTGCATAAGTATATATAGCTCATTAAGAATTGTATAGGCGAGTAACCCTTTCGTTAGTATGATGTGTACTTTTGAATTATATCAGCTCAATTTCCGGCCCTTGAGTTCTACCTCTTATCATCTTCATGTCACAATTTAGCTTTGTTCACCGCAAGGATGTGAGCTATGCTCGGTTCAGGCTCAACTTCTCGCTTTACGTTAGCGGACCTACAGGTCCGGCCGAGGCTCTGTGCTCTTTCTTTCTGCGTGGGACGATGCCGGGGCAGCCATGATGGCGTTGAGTATTAACAGGCACATGATGTATATCTTCAAAACTTGTAAAGATGAGATCAATTAAATTAGTTAATTGAGTAGGTTAATTTAATTAATTATATGCACATGAGACGACGTATTAGGTCTTAAAGTGAGTTTTGGATTCCTAGATTCATTAGGCCATTAGGCTTGTAACTCAAGTTGTCCATGACAACCAAAGTAAGAAAGCCCAAGAGGCCCACCTGCACTGGTCGGTTTTGGGGGTCTATTGGTGAGGGTTTCACCAATAGAGGTAAACTAATATCACGTCGTCGTACAAGGAGAAATGATTTCTTACACGTAAGAAGCATAAAAGAGTCTCTCATATTGCAAATATATATACTTGAAGAAAATTGCTCATGTGCAGTTATTCTTTACTGGAATGACGAAAAACAATAATACTTATCTCCATTCCCTAACATTTAACAATATAGAAAAATAGATGCTGATGCACCGCGAGGATATGCTCTTCCAATAGTGAACAAGCTATGAAAAAAACAATACTATTATTTGTCATTTAAACAGACAAGGCAAATAAAAAAAAAAAAATACAGGAAAACCAGATTAACACCCCTCCCCTCATATAATATAATAATGGCTTTATATATAGAGATAATAATAATAATAATAATAAAGTGAGAAATATTGGACAGTGTTTCATTTTTCATTTTGATTTTACGTAGTATTAAGTATTATCTAAAGTACCTATTAATATAATTATTTTCGTCAACCAAAAGATGATGAAAAAACTCGAGATGTGATATCTACACACCCTTTTTTACTTCTCTCACACTTTTTTAATTTTCGGCTGTCGGATCGGATGAATTGAAGAAGATCAAAGGACAAAAATTAATAAGGTGTGTGGATAGCACACCCCAAAAACTATTTAGTCTTCTATCAAATAAAAAAAAAAGATGATGGGCTTCAATGTAATTTTACAGATCTAATTTTTTTTTTTTATTGAAGTTTCATTACAAATGATGTTAAGCCACACACACATTCTCTCTCTCCGTCTCTCCTTCTTATTTTAAAAATAAAATAAAAAAATATTCGTACACATGCTATTGAATATTAACTTTAGACTACCGTAAAAGCCATAATTCATATAAATCTACTTCGTCTAAACGTGTTTAATACGATTAGAAGGCATGCAGGAAAATGAGAGGGGGGGACCCAGACACCGAGTGGCAATGGCAGATACAAGGGTCAACTGTTACCAAATGCCAAATCTGAACCGTCAAAAATACGACATGGACATGGGATGGAAATGGTCCCGGTCCATATCGTGTTCATCGACCCAACAAAACAATTATCTCCTCATTTTTCTAGGTGAGGAATCAAACAAGAAAACTGCTCAAATAAAATACCAAACCAACAAGAACGAGAACAACTCCCTCTCTCTCTCTCTCTCTCTCTCTCTCTCTGTCTCCTGAATAGTTTGTGTTTTGATGGAGAGGGAGAATATTAATATTAGTAGAGATGTTGATGGGGGGAAGAAGGGTGGTGATGGGGGTTTGGAAGGATTTGCAGTCGTCTCTTCCACAAGGATTGACTGGAAACCCAGAAAGAGATCACTAATATCATCAGGTACTTACCCTACCTCTTCTTTCCTTCGTTTCATCTACTAGGGTTGCCATATTTACATCTTTCTCTGTTTCTCCAATCGGGCTTTTTTTTTTAATTAATTACTAATACATGAAGAATTTTTAAGATATGCATGCATATATATACCTCCCATCACGAATCTTAGTAATCCATAACCCTAAAGCATAATTATCACCACGAATTGAAGCCGCACCGTCACAGAAGCTGAATTAATTCTTGCATCTATCACTCATTTCATTTTATCGTGTTTTTAATTTATTGCGTGATTATGATTACTAAGATTAAAAACAAAACAGTACTAAGATTAAAAACAAAACAGTCTTTAATTTGGTCAGAAGAGAGAGAGAGAGAGAGAGAGAGAGAGAGAGAGATAAAGCTGTTGTTGAAGAGTTGCTGACTTTGCTCATACGCTACTTCAAAATGGGGCTAGCTGGTTTGCGTAAAAATTGGTCTCTCACACCCTCTCTAATTATTATTAGGTGCATTTAATTGCAATTTACATTTCATTTTCTTTTCATTTTTGGCCTGTAATCTTTCACGTCATCAAAGGAAAATCATGCGCTACTATACTCGCAAAAAAAGAAAAAGAAAAAAGAAACAAAAAAGAGAGTAAAATCTAGGAGACTATCAATTTATATCGTAATCTGTAAATTATATGACGTGGTTGTTTATTGTATTATTCAAATGATCACGACACTTTCTTTTCGTCCTTTGATTTTTCCTTTTACTACATATTTCATTCTTTAATAAGAGTGAGTTCATTTTAAATGTGTTAGAGGTGATTTTGTTTAATTTTAATAAAATATTCCTATTTTCGTCATTTGTCAATGAATTGAATATCGTAATTCAAAGATAAAAAAACAATAAAAACCAGAGTATTTAGCCATAGCCACGTTCGCTAAAAGTAGCTTGCTCCCCACTCTGCACCCAAATACGAATCTCCCAAAAATCTACTATAGATTAGGGGCTCGTATGGAAAGTGCTTTTAAAATGACTGAGAAAGCTTTTGGTGAAAATATTTTTAAAACCAATCCTTAGTAAAAATTTAAGTGGATCTTAGAAAAGCACTTAAAATGTTTTTTTGCAAGAAGTACATATCTAGTTGTTCTTTCAAAAATCACTTAAAGTGCTTTTAGAACCCAAAATCAGTTTCACCAAAAGCGTTTTCAGTCATTTTAAAAGCACTTCCAAACAGCCTCGAGTTCAATGTTAGAACATAAAAGTATTTCAATTTTCTTGTCTTACCGTTTGGACAGCTTTGAATACTATAATAATTCTATTACCACAAGTTAGATATTACCTAAATAAGTACAAATCTCTTATCTAAACCTTAGTGCTAGTTACCCTATTTGGTGATCATATTATACTGTCTGATCCTTTCCATAGATGTTCATCTGGAAGTTGAGTCGACAGCTCCAAATACCTTGATACATACCACCCTAAGTTTCGGATTTCATCCGTCTATTGACTGGTTTAGGTAGTTCATTCGTTAAGAATATCCCCAAGTGTCGGATTTCATCCGTGTATCTAATCCGAGGAACATGTTATGTACAAGGATCGCCAGTCTCGATCATCTTTTCTATGCACCTGATCATGCACTTGTTCATGGTGTTCTTGGTACTCTGTTCTTCCTCAAGTTATCAATTAGTGCATACTCTCATCCTGCATGTTCACTACATAGTACACAAATATATAGCAAATAGGGCCAACCATCCATTCTGGTTTGAGCTTTTGATCTGCATCTCTAAATTCAATAGCACTAGAAAGTGAACTTGTTTCCCACAGCTAGCGGGAGGAATATAGACAAGGTAACAGGAGACACTGCTAATAATAGTCCCGACAAACAGGAAGTGCCCATCACTGAAGAGGAGATGCAGGACGTAACTGCTGCTCCTGAGCTCTCTGAACGTCGAAAGGCCCTTTTTGAACCCTTGGAACCTATAACAAATATCAATGGGAAGCGACCCTCAGCTGAATCCTTACTTCCTCCGCCAGACTTTGATGCCGCAACCTATCCTAAAGGGTGGTTGATTGGGAAAAAGAGGAAGCTAGTCAATGTCGATGTTGTTGAAAAGATGCGGAGGATTGCCGTTCAAGAAATGAACAGAAAGGTGTCATTTCCAAACAGGTCACATCATCTCCAACCAAAGGAATTGCTCTGCAATATATTGAACCGCTATTATTTGTTATCTTTTCAGGATAGGGAGATTGACGGGCTAAATGAGCAGTTGGAAGAGGACGCCAGATGCCTAGAGCACCTGCAACTCCAACTCCTCCAAGAGCGAAGCAAGCGTTCAGACGTGGAGAGAGAGAACGCAATGCTGCAAGACCAGGTTACCATGCTCATGAACATGCTGCAAGACGACACCGTGGACGATGGAGGCCCCGACGAGCCATAGATATTGTTTGTAATTTGTTATTTGTTTTCTTATTCTTTTTGTACATTTGGTTGGAGAAAGTATACACATACACAGATACAATAGTGCCGGTGCTAATGACCTCTGCACATGCTTGTTACTAAGTTGTGAAGAGTCACGCAGAAGTCATATATCAAAGTATATGTCCAAGCTGTATTTACCTTGGATAGTTTGTCCGTCAAATGAATGCCTCACCCACAGTTCAAGTTCGTTCTCCGCCACTGTCGCCAAAGGCCGATGCCGATCCGGCGCTAAAAACTCAGCGCCTTCATCTTTGTTAAATCAAAGCGATCATCAACAAGAAACAAAATTGACAGAAAGTGGTGGATAATAAGCATCTTTCATGATATAATTTGATGAAATATCACACATCAATTGTGTCTTGGAGAAAATAAGAGTTTAAATATCTCAACCCTACTCTAACTAATACCGGGACCTTTTAGGATAAAACTCCACACTTGACTGATTGTGCAGGTGGTAATTCCTAAGTTGGGAACAATATAATGTTGTTAGAAGCAAGGTCTAAAATATAGATATTTTCCCGATATTTCCATTGAAATTTTCGTGTTTTTGAACTACCGATATTTCCGATATCATCGATATTTTAGATCTTGGTAGTAACTCTACGTGGAACTAAGTCGCTCATGTATCTTACCATGCAATGTATAAAGTGTAAAATATTGTACTAATTCATTATATATAAATGATTATGGTGTGTTTAAACTTCTTTCATTAATTACTACATATTTTCTACACTCACAATGTTTGCTAGCTCGCTATATAATCAACTTAAATCAGTTAAATCCATCATGCAATGCATTTCCTTCCAATTTTTTTGTGATAAACTAATAAATAATTGGCTAAATAAATATCCTGCAAAGTTTCAATATAAATTTCCAAGTTTTTCTTACAATTTTCGTGGTTTTTATTCAATTTTTATCGATATCGATAATATCCTGCTATTTCCATCGAAATTTCCGTGTTTTTGAACTACCGATATTTCCGATATCATTGATATTTTATACCTTGGTTAGAAGTGAGCATTTGACCCGTCTTTTTGATAACTTTCATTTGCGCTCGGAAATAAACGCATTGATAGTTGCAGTCCCGGAGGCGGCCAGGTAAACGAGATCAGTTTATCAAGAAAGAAGGCGTGCCGCAGGACATCACAGCAGGGCAGACTTAACAGAGTGTACTACAAAACTCACATGGCCGTGGAAGAAAAGTTCATTGCATACAAAGGTAAGACAGGGCAGGACACACGAAGGACGGTAAGATTCTAGCGAGAACGAGGTCGGCGTTATAAACACGTCGGGATTCTTCACCGACGTACATTTCTGAATCCCCAAGTTGTACACGTTTTATTAACAACCTGCACCTGTTGTATTCAGAGACTCGAGAACCGCCATTTAGATTTTCTATACTTTTGTACAAAGACTATTCCGGGATGGTAAATGGCTACTCCCTGCCTAATTACATCATAAACTTACGACAAGTTAAACAGAAAATGAGGAAGGCTTGCTATCCTAGGAAGATTAAGAAGAAGCTCCCCGAATGAATCCCTTCTCGGCATGGTCGGTTCCTGCTTGCCATCAGAATCCTTGGGCTCACCCTTGGGTGCAGGAAAACCTTCTACAGGTTTGCTCTCATAAGCTGATGCAGAAGCAGAGTTAGTTTCCGCTGCTTTTCGATCATTGCTTCCATTCGACCAGTCATCACTTCTGGCCTGCAAGTTTAGATCTGCAGAAGGATCCTTCTGCAAGAGGCAATAAAGGGAATTGACTCTTGACATGAGGGACTGCTCATCAGACGGTAATGGGAGTTGGGAATCACTGAACAAGTACTGAGTAATTTCCTCCAACATGTCTGAGCTAGGTTGTTCCTTGCCAGAAATGCAATTTCCAATGTGGCTTACGAAGTCGCTCACTGACATTGACAAAGTAAGTCCAGGAACTTTGATTTGATTGAACTTGCTGAGCATCTTTGAGGTTCCGGCAGTGTCCATCACTGTATATGGAAGGACGGTTAGACACACAACTTGTGCAATGTAGTTTCCATAACAAAATTGCACCACAAACGTGAATGTCGTATGAAGTGCATACTTAAACTAATAGAGATTAACCAATAATGTGGAGGGAAAGATGGATGAACCAAGAATGTGATGTAGTGTGGTAGGAGGGATGAGGGAGAAATGCACATGAAATGTCATACAAAATGAATATGAAAAGCTAGGAAAAAATAAAAAACCTACTTAAAATTGTTTTCACACAAAATGAATACGAGAACCTATTAAAGAAAACCTACTTAAAACAGTTTTCAGCTTTCGTTTTTGGTTTTCACGCTGTGTACGTTCCATGTTAGTGTATTTCTGTACAAATTACATTGATTAACCAAATCAATTGCAAATGAACGTATGGTCATGTTTCAAATTCTCCCTTTTCTACACATTACTTGTTTCTTTTCAGATCTTCATATCCCTTATTCAGGAAAGTAACTCCTCTTATCCTTTGAATGGATAGTACCAGAAAAATAACCGACCCCAACCCTTTTATGAGCCAAAATCAAAGGGATGCTGATGAAGGGACTTCCAAACATAATTCTCAGTCTCTGTCTAATTGACTCATACTTTGCCAACATAATTTCTATTGCAAGGGATCAGTAAGTGATTTTGTTGCTATTTATTTCATATATACAGAGACAGAAGTGACCAGATGTATATGCTTCTAAGTTACTCAACGATACGATGAAAAATGAAAATAGTTAACTGCAAGAAATAAACAGGACTGCAAATGAATGGGAATAAAATCTTTAACCTAGAAACACACAAATTTTAATCATAAGTCAAGAAAGATGAGAGTGAGAATTGAAATTTTAGCAAACATAGTGATTGAGCAACTTTGTAATACTAATGGTTAATTATTTATTTATCACCATAACAATTAACTCTCTTTTTAAGGTTTGCTGATTTACCTGAGGCAGACGAAGAAATTTCCTGGGAATAACTTTCAGGAGCTCTACCACTAAAATCTTGTTCATTCTTAGATGGCGACGAATGAGCTCCAGAAGGTGATGCTGATTCCTGCAAACCAGATATAGCAGACCCCTCTTCAATCTTTGAACCAAACCGATGTCTATATTCATCATCAAGGTCAGCTGTTACGGTAACTCTAGCATCGAAAAATGGAGATTCTAGCACAATTTCTGGCTGCTGGCTCAAAAAGTTGAGACGAGGATCACATTGAATAAGCTTTTCGAAATGCTTGCCCAAGAGCAACCCTTGTGGGCACTGCAAAAAATGTCGCCTTAAGACAAAAAAAGGGAAAAATCAAATTACAAATTTGGAACACAATCGATATAGTTCAGTAGCTTCTTTCTTAAAGCTTCTCAATGTTCTATTAATGACTATACTGACTACAAGGTTAGATATACCTGTTCAAAGTGGCTTGTCCAGCAGTAAAATCAGACGTTGCCTGCCACAAGGTATGTTTCCTAGGCTGCGGATTGGTCTCCCTAAAGAAAAGGGGCGGTCTAGCAAGCTGCCCCAAGAAAGAATACTAACAGATTATTAACCGATACGGAGTAATTTCTAAGGGGGAAAAGATAATTAGGTTAGAGTGAACAATTACCACTACATCCAAAGTCCCCGGTCCATCCTCCGGGTAGTTTGCCTTGATAGCCACAACATCTGACCACTGAATTTCCATCTTGTTCTTAAGACTACCATCAAGCACTTCCCACACAAGTTTATGCTTGGCAAAATAACATTTCGCCACCAAATCTCCTTCGTATCTCGACTTATACTGCAGCAGAAAATCGATAATATCCAACATCAACCATCAATACATTAAACAAAATCGAATACAGAAAACATGTTCGTCTTGGAAACAACGATTTCCCAATCAAATGGGAGTTATATACCTCCCAAGTCCCAATCCTTAGAAGGGAAGCCGGAAAGTTCATAGCCTTGAGCTTATCCGGCGCACCGGAAGCAGCAGCTCCCTTGTGACTTCTCTTGCCTAGTGTTGCCAATTTAGCAGAGTTTTCTTGGGACAGCTTCATCTGGATCAAATCCAAAAACGATGGACTTTTTTTGAGCTGCAAACCGAGTGGGCTCGGCTCATCCAGCGGATGGTACACCGACGCATCAACATCGCCCGGCATCTTAGACACAAACATCATAAAAAGATCAGCTTACACTCAATACATCACATCAAATTTGAAAATAAAAATCTCCTCTCTCTGAAAACGCCTCCCTAATCTGTTTGGTTGGTAAGAAAGTACAAGAAAATTTAAATAATTCAATTAAGCCAATTGAAAATCAAACACCATGGGAAAAAAAAAACATCTACTCTTCCTGAAAATCACTCCCTAATTAGTAATCTGTTTGGTTGCTAGGAAAATTCAGGGAAATCAAATCAAATCAAATCAAATCAATTCAATCCAATTTGTGCAAATTGAAAATCAGATAATACGAAAACAAAATTGAAAAGAAATGAACTTATACCTGCGGAGACGAGTCGAGTTTGAGCCGTTTGTGACTCGGACCGAGTCGGGTGCCGGACGACTCATCGACGTCCAACTTCACCGTCACCTTTCGCGGGCTCATTAGCTGAACCATCGGCTCTAGAATTCAAAACACCAACCTAACAACCTGACTCAGTTGCACAGCGAGTTAACTCAGCGATTTTCCCGTTCCCGAAACGTTTCTAAAATTCGCGTCAACAAAACAAAAACCGTGTGGCGGTGTCTCCCTTTCTTTTTAACGCGGAGGAGAGGGAGAGGGAGGCGCACAGTACGATCCCATGGACGGCCGTCACGTGCGTGGCAATTGTCCCAGGGATACGCCACGTGGGCGGACATAAATGGACCCGACTGGATTTACGTAAACGACCTTGGGTCTTGGCGGTGACTGTGCTCTTGGAGGAGGCCGGCGGCGTCAGAAGACGTCATCTAGTTTGGCGTTTTCTGCGGTGGTCGCGAAGTCAGGTGCTCCCACGTGCGTGTTTGGATAAAATTGTGGGGGCCCGCATCCCGAAGGTTCTGAGCTGTGCGGGGTGATTTGTCTGGTAATTGGGCCGGTGGCGATGATTGTGTGGAAGGTCCTGCACGAAATTTTTTTTTTTGTGACCGGATGTTATACCAAATGTTTTTATGTAAATAAAGAAAAATTGTATTTTTTAAATTATTAATATTTTAACATATATATCTTACCATTTATATAATAACACATGATATAGGTGTTTTTGTCACACTGAAAAATCTCTCGTCCTAAACACGTAAGAATTTCAACCGAGGAAAGTCTGCCGACGTGTTCTTGTGGATAAGGCTCAACACTTACTTATCAAACTTTCCTTTTTCCTTCTCTTTCTTTTCGTTTCTTACTTTTGGAAGTGGATAATTTATATAAAATGGGTTATTTGCCTTCTTTAAACGACAAGGAGATATTTTTATTTATTTTTTAACCATACATAATTTGACTCTGTGCTTAACGTTTTCCAATAAGGTTTAATTTTTAGTGTGGATATATCATTGGTGCGAATATAAAGTCGCCGGTGTTATTTCTTTTCAAAGTCTTTTTTTTTTTTTTTTTTTGGTTAAAAGATAAACTTTATTAAAGACGACCATAAACATTTACATCTTTTGTTAAAACATCAAATAAAGACTCTGGTCCCAAAGCTCTCCAACGGAAGGCACCTCCATGTGAGGCAACATATGAAGCTATAGAATGAGCAGCGGCATTTCCATCTCGTTTCACAAACATAAACCTCATCATTCCTAATTGAGATACTAAAAGCCCAATATCAAACAAAAAGCATTCCAAAGTAGCATCAGGTACACAATCCTTATTAATCATAATAATAAGCATCATGGAATCAGATTCTATCTCCACATCTGGCATCCCAACTCAATGCAAACCTCTACTGCAGCGCGCAAGGCAGCAGCCTCTGCCATTGCAGCCGTACTGAAAGGCAGTCCTCCCACTCCTCCCGCTGCCAGCAGCAACCCACCCATAGCCTCCTTTTGCCAGATTTCCCACTCCAAGCCCCATCGCAATTGAGTTAAGTACCCTAAACGGCGGCCTTCTCCATCTAACTGGCTGCCCTGCAAAGGTTACACGTTGTCCCATCTTACACTCATCAGGATCACCCCTCTCCACACATTGAGCCACTCGAAACTCCAAAATTTGCTTCCAGATCACATGAACCATATCCATAGGATTAACAAGAACTCATTCCTAGACTTCCAAATTCTCCAAAGCACAAAAACACACTCCTGCATCACTTCCTCATAGCGATTATTCTCTCGAAACCGCATGCAAAGCCCCCTCCAATAATCCCTGAAATCTCGCCCTCCAAAACACCCCATATCCAACTGCAAGGAGCAACAATACCACAACACACGGCCAAATGCACACTCAAAAAATAAATGATGTTCTGTCTCATCCACCTCAAAAAATAAAGTAGTGTTCCAAGACCCCAACTCGGAAACAATCAAATCCCCTACCATTAACGGCATCTCACTATGAGTCGACCTTACTCTGAAAGTATAAGGCCGTGGGATCCGAGGATCCTGTTTAACTCGAATACTCCACCCATCCCCCACTCTCCACCGTAATCCTCGTTCTAAGACCTTCCGACCTTGCACAATCCCCTTCCACCCCCAAGAAGACCGGCTTCCTACCTTTGCCTCCATAAACGATCGATCAGGAAAATACTTAGCTTTAAGAATTTGTCCCAATCTTTGCTAAATAAGCAAGCTGGAAAGCTAATAAATCCCGAAAACCAAGTCCTCCAGTCTTCTTGGATAGTGGCTATTCTAAATGCTGTTTTAAAATGGCTGAAAGTGTTTCGAACTAATCTTCATCCTCTCTCTCATTCACGCTGAATGAATGGAGATTTGCGGGGTCACATTCTATTCTCTCTCTCTCTCTAAATTTCTCTTTGATTCATTTTTGTTCTTATTTGGACATACAACATACAATCTCGTACAAGTATTTCTACCCGCACGTTGCGTGAGTTGGGAAATTTGTCATGTAAATAAAAAAATATACTAAAAATTTTAAGACCACGTACTTGTGCATGACAAATAATAAGAAAAGAAACCTTGTTTATTCTCTCCTCAAAATGAAATTAAAGCAATATTAAAAAAAAACATTTGATTTCACTAACATACAACTAAGTGTGCTTACATATTAGGGCATTCAACCCCCTATCTATTTGATGAAAATGAACTTGCCTCACTAATAAAACCATTAACCTAAAAAGAAACCAGATACGTTTGAAGGGGCCACAACTAATTGTGTTAGGCCTAGTACAAGCCTAAAACGGCAAAGGCATCCATAGCCCATATTCACATAATAGAAGGGTAATTTCGTAATTAAAACCAAATGCCCCCTCAATTGCACTGTTGCAAAGCTACAGTGGTACCAACCCTTCCCAAGTTTAGAATAGAGTAATGAACGCATGCTATTTGCAATTTCTGAGTGCCGTTGTGTAATAAATTGATTCCCTATGGCTGAGGCAGTAAGGATTTGAAGAGTGTATTATTTTCCTGTATGATATGCTTGGATGCAACAAGTTACGCACGAGTGCACGAAGGAATAGTTGAATGCGTTTTTGGCAATGTTAAAGAACTTTGTATGAAAGAACCGTATAAAATTTCATACACATAAAAAAATTGACCTATGTTGAAGAACTGGATAAGGTTTACTTCAGTTGACACAACAACATTTGCAAAGGACCAACCATTGGTAGGAATACTATAAGAACTTACAAAAACGAGCGAGGTTGAAGCCAATGTTCTTCGGCAGTGAGAAGTGAAAGTCCTAGGACGAGTACTAATTTAATCTAGAAATAACTAAATTCCAACTTAAAACTAATTTGAATTATGAATTAAATTAATTAGTTATGCAAACTAAATCCTACACAAATATTCAAAAGAAATATAAAGAGTACACGCATGATGTAGGATTTAACGAGGCAAAACCCACCAGTGGGAAAATCCTCGGGCTAGCAAGCCAAGAAGCACTAAGAAAGAAAGAGTACATAAAGACTTACAAAACTCATCAACTAGACGCACATATCAGTTGGCAACTTTGTCTTCGTGCTTTGCTACTCGATCCTTCTTCAGTCTTCGAGTTGAAGTGGCACGATACTAACGCGATCGTCAATCAACTTTTCCTCGAACTTTGCAAGATACTAACTCGATCATGCAGAATGTTTATATGATAAAGTGTTTATTTGAAAAAACAATCAATTACAAAAATCACAAGGCACATTTTCATAATTGACATTCAATTAAAAACTTAAATGAAAGCAGCATGAAAATGATTTTTTCTCTTTAAAAACTCATGCTGTTGAAACCACAAGATGGCAGTAATAATAAAACAATTCGTTCTGCTCCAAAAACCAACGCTACTGCCTTTTTATGTTTTTAACTAAGAAACCCTATTTCATACATATGCGGCTTACGTTCTTAAAGTCCCCGACAACTCTTATAGGGACTTAAAGCCCCACACCTATTAAACCGATAAGAATGCAAACCGTGTAGTCAGATAACTCCCAACAACATGCAATCAGATAAGTTCCATCGTGCAATTAGATTATTGTGAAAGCATGTTTTAATAATTAATTTAGAAAGGATACGTCAACTTAAAGATATAAAACACACAGTGAAAAAGAGACCTATCTCAAATACAATAACATGAGATATGAATGTAGTTGGATGCATGCGTGCAAACGTACCTGGATAAGTATCTTGTTTACGTATCATCTTTGCATCGAAAGTGTGAGAGACATCCTTAGACTTAAACAATTACAACGGAAACTATGTAACAAATCTAAGCGATTACAGACTCAGGCATTTTGCTAGGAATTTGCCAATTTTACACTAACAAGAAGAGAGTAAGAAAAATCGTCAGGCTGTCCATCCTTGCACTCCCACTTTATCTGACTATAGTGCTACTGGTTCTGAATCTCAGACCAGACAACTACTTCAGCTAGATGCATGCAACACCTGCACAATGACTTACCTCGAATCACCAAGCTCGTCCCATGTGCATTCTCATAACACTAGAGCGGTAATAGAACCTGTTGCGGAAAGAGATTGCTGTATGTGAATCCAAGTTCTTCACCATGGTAAAAGTATAATCAATAGTCTTTTGTAATTAGAGAACGTGAAAAATGCCTTCTCTCAAGGATGTGGCTATGACATTTCCAAAAACGGTTTCTCCAGTACCTCCCAACAGTCATTAGAAGCGATTCTTCCTCGACACTGCAGTTAACAAATCCCTAGTTCTGATCAAGTGCCAGTGACAAGGGAGGCCATTTCAAGTGTCTCATACTCATGTACATCGTCGGCTTTTTTGGTCCTCAACATCTCAGATGGAAGAATGGATAAGTTGGGATCGCTTCTGGGTATTAGGAAGAGTAGCGCAATAGGAACAATTCTCAACAAACTCCGGATCAAAATGGCCATCCAAAGATTTTCAAATTGTGTCCGCGTAATATTCAAGATGTGGAGTAAGAGGCCTCCAGCCCAAGTAGATGAGAGCATCCCTACATGGTCAATCGACATCAGTAACGCAAAGAAAGTGCCTTCGATACCCGCAGGGCAGAGTTTGGAACTAAGTACAAGGAGGGGCATCCACTTCATACGCCCAATCAACATAGTAACGGCTTCGTCAATGACAACAAAAAAATAATCTGGCAAACCAAATTTCAAATTTATGCGCAACACCAATACCAAATCTAGCAATCCTGAAAAACCATAGAGCAACTGAGTCCAGAAAAGAACATCCCTGAAAGGGTAATTTTTGAAAAAGTTCTGGTAGAGAAGGACCCCCAAAAGGGAGCCAACAGCACCTATAGAGAATATGGATCCGACAATCTCCTGTAGGAAGCATATAAACAATGAGTTTGGATTTAGGCGCACCAGACCAAACAACTTCCGGCCACAAGAAATGCACTAAAATTATAGAAGCATTTCCGGTTACCTTAGAGAAAGACGGACCCTCCTTTGCATCAGTGTACCAATAAAACATTCCTTCACGAACATTCAAGGCCAGAGCAAGTGACAAGTACATGTATAAACAAGGCCTCCATACACTACCGCATTTTAATGTTGTCCACATAGCCTTACCAGCATCCAGTAACTTTACACTGACCTAAATTAAGAGATTGGCATGAGCATCAGAGAAAGCAGGTGCTAAAATGGGTAAATAAAAAAGTAAAGTAATCTCACCCGTTTATAAGCAAAGTTGCGCACATGAGATTCTCTATGCATTATCCCAACCAAAACGACCAGCCCTGGAGGGATGCTGAGCAACCCAAACACACCCTGTCATAGAAGTGCCAACTTCTACCGGTCAGAAAGCAATTTAAGCTGATAAATTATCTGAGTGGATAATGAAACTATACGAACACGATATGGTTCAATCGAAAGGTTGCCAAAATCCGATATCAAATCAAAGTTCTGTCTAATTTAACAGTATAAACATATACCAAACGATTGACAACGCCAAAGGTTTATGTCACGACTATAAGCGAAAGCATACCTTAGGGCCCACAAGGTGAACAAGAAACCCACTAAGTGAAAATCCGACCAGTGCCCCAACTGAAGAGCTCAGTCCACACAAGCTTTGCGTGTCACCGGCAAGGGATGGATGGCTTATACTGTTCTGTGTAACACAGGCATCAATTGTTACATCGGCAATTGCTACTCCAGCACTCCCCGCCATCAGAGCCAGCAAGGACATTGTGAGATTTAAATTCTTGTCTAGTGATAACACAAGCATGGAGGTCACCCCAAGCAAACCTGGAAAGACCAACAGGAAAGTAAAAATAAGGGAACAGCGTTCAGGTAATGTAGTATTTTCTTCTTTATAATAAGGTCGTACTGCTAAAAGATATATAGTAATCACCTTATACAGATTAAATTCGAAATTAGATTAGAAAAGCATGAACCCAAGTTACATGGCAACTCTTGGAGACAAACTAATGCAACATCTGATTACAAATACCTATGCAAATGGAAGTCAGGGCACTAAAGGGCTATGGGACTTCAAAACTTAGCCAAAGATTACAATTGCCAATTTTACGAAAATTGATAGTTTCTCAATTTTACGAAAATTGATGTCGAATAATAAATTCATGTATGTATATATACAACAACAACAACAACAACAAAGCTTTATCCCACTAAGTGGGGTCGGCTATATGAATCCTAGAACACCAATGCGCTCGGTTTTGTGTCATGTCTTCCGTTAGAAGTGTTTTCTACTTGTCATAAATAAACTATTGTTAGCCCACATTTAAATGAACAGATGAATCCTCTACTTGAAATATGATACTCTCCTATTTACCATCATTTCATGCAATGCAGTTTCTGCAAAAATCATATGATGTAGCTGAAAAAGAAAATTATATGTGACAACATACAACACAACGTCCTTATTAAATTGCTCAAATTACCCCCGAATAAATTTGAATACGATGCCAATCCAAACTAGGTTGTTTACATATCAAGTAAGCTAGAACATAAAATGATCTTTAAATAACATAAAAATATGACCCCAAATTCAATAGAAAATAAAAGCAGCAGCTAAAATGATATAAAATCAAAACACACATTTATATAGAAAAATGAGTTGGTATCATAATTTACCAGCAAAAACGAAGTAGGGTTTTCGGCGGTAGCCAAGAACAGGAAGAGTGTCAGTGAGGAGACCCCAAAGAGGCTTCACAATCCATGGAATTTGGATGATGCCAAAGTAGATTTGTGCCTCAGAAGGCTGCACTTTCTCTTCGTCTTTCAAGTAATACTGTATGCTAATTCTACTCAACCCCATGCTCAGACCCTGGCTGATTCCGTACACGATCACCACACCTACCACAAAGCTCCAATGCAACTCGCTGCTCAGCATTCTAAACCAATTTATGGGTGTCCATAGCAAATCTCGGACACCCTTTACGGGGATTTTCTGCATTTGGTTCCCAGACTCAGGGTGAAGACTTTCTTTTTCATGTTCTTCTGCTTCCATTTCCATGGCTGATAACTCTGCTTTTTCCTGCAAAATTTGAGAAAAATAACACCCAGTTGATAAGTCTTGGTTTTCTGATGTGGGGTTGTCGAATTGGTTCTCAGAAGCTGCATCTGCAGGAATTTGACTTTAACTGCAACAGTTCAATTCTGTCATGGGGACAGAGATCCAAGACCCCAGTAGACTTTCCCAAGGCAAAAATGGGAAACAACATTGCTGGGCTTTTTAGCTTTTCCTATTTTTATTTTTTGGTTAAAGGCTTTGGTCCAAGGTGAGAACACCTACGAATTTTAAGCTCAATAAAAAGCCCAATGGGTAAATGGACATTTGCTTAATTTGGCTGAATTTTACTAGTTTACTCGGATTTTCACTCTCCTAGTTTTTATTTCGAGGCATTTTTCATCTTTGTAGTTTCTTTTTGGTTTCACGTTAGGTAAATCAGTCAAAGAAGTTGATTTTCCATCCATTTTTGTACAAGTCTTTTCATTCAGCAACTCATCACTCCATTTTCGGTTCAAACTCTCATCCCTCTCTTTTTTTCTAAAAAAAATTACCATTATCGAGAGAGGGAGAGGGTTCAAAACTACATCAATGTCTACTGGATTTTTTGTCAACAAAATTTTACGAAACTTTTGAAATCCCGGAACAAAATTCCTCGATCCAGCAGTGTTACCTAATACCTTAACTTTTAGTACCTCTAGTTAAGTATAAGAACCGATCGTGCTTGGTTACCTAATTTACAATGGAATGATTACTGCCTCCCTTTGGTTTTAGCACAACCATGCATCAAACGTTTGGCCAATTCCTTGTAGAGATAGATTTTTGGTGGTTAACCATGAAGAGTTCATTTAGCACAATTACACTTGCTTGGGAAAAGAAAACCGCAAAGTGAAGAAGCATGACACACCAAGAAGTTTGCACCAATTGAAAGCTTTATAATTGGTTTTGCATATATATTAATTGATGAACATGCAGATGTACAGAATGGTAGGATCAGAATATGGACCATCTAATCCACACCACTGTAAGTTAATGAGACGATCCATTGGGTAGGAGTTCGACCATTTGTCAAAAATTGATTTCCCCTGAACTCTTAGCCACCAACAAGTGCGGAGCCATATAATTAGGCGCCCCTGCAATGTGGTCACAATCTTAGGGGGTTGTTAACTTATAGACAAACTCAAGCAGTCAATTATATGGCTATCAAAATTTTGGTTTCGTTATGGTAATCTACTTTTTTGGAGATCAGAAAGACTTATAAATGTATTTTAACTTCTTCCTGACAACCATTATATAACTTTAAATGTGGCGGTGCAAGTTATACTATCTTCAATGCATATGGAGTCCAATTTGACGTTTCATTTCAATTCATGTGCATTAGAGATGGATTAAGCCAAAACTTAGAGATATAGATATAGTCGTTGTATTTTCTAATTAGTGCGGGGGTCACAGTTTTAACTCTAAGGTTAAACTCAAAGTCAAATAAGACATTTCGTATAACTCTAAAGTCATGTACCCCAACTTTTTTGGTACATTACAGAGGAATTAAGTTTCAAACCCTACTCTCGCGCACACACCCGACCGAATACTAGAGAACAACAAATCCTATGTTTAGAATCAAGAACTTTAAATGTCAAGTTTGTGGTTGAATATATGACAGTTGAGAGTTGGAAACGAAGAAGAGTCTCTCGTTGTGATAAGTATGAAATACATTGTGAAAGGGTTGATAGATTGAGAAAGTTTGATAATTAATATGAGAAATACTAAGGGGACTCTTTCAAGTTTAGACTCTCCATATACTGTCTGTCACCTTACAGTTTAACGTCAATTTGTGTGCCACTATTATAAAATATTGTGTAAAAAAAATAAGTTGGCAGAGTCCATGGAAAGTCCCACTTTTGAGAGTCTCTTAACATTTCTCAATTTTTTTTTTACCAAACGATATTATCTACACTAAGAGGTGGGGGAGTGGGCTAACAATAATGTGTTTCAAATTATCTTTTGGCGAGAATCAAACCTAAAACATTTCACTTACAAGTGAAGAGGAATACTATTAGACTGTAGTACTAAGTGGCAGCATTTCTCAATTAACATTGTGAATACTGACTAGGTCTCCGAACAAAGAGCTAGCTGCTAATATTAAGGTTTTGCTATAAACTGAAAAGTTAATACGAGCTTGCTAGTTAATGTCACATTAATGACTTGTATTCCAAATTTGACTATTGATTTGCATCTCATAAACAAAAATTCACTAAACTGATCATCTTAGGTAGTTAGAAGAGCCTAATTAAATTATCAAGAAGATTAAGAAGAAAAAAAACATGAAAATTGTTACGTTGGCCTATCTTCGAATGTTCAAAGCTTATACTTGACTCTAAATGCGGTGGTACAAATTATATCATGTCTATGCGTACAAAGTCAAATATAATTTTTAACTTGTTGGCGCATTAGAGAGAAACCGCGTCAAATTTAATTTTTCCACAATGGGGAGAGTCGAGACAATTAAGTTGTTAAGTCTGGATAACTACCCAATCTTTAGGGGTGTTTTCAAATTGGCCCTAACCTCTTAAAACATTTCAAATAACTGCCTAAAGTTTTGAAAAAATGAACATCTATTAGGTTCACTAGCATTTAGTGTTGACATAGACAAATATTAAGTGTGTTTTAACTCTCAAGTCCATTGTGGAGATTTGATGACTTTCCAAATTGACGCCATATACTTAAGCAAATTTATGGTTTAACTTAGCAAATGGGTCAATTTGGGGGTTAAAACTCTAAAGACGTTGATTAGTGAAAACCAACTTTAGTGTTTGTCCACCTCATTATTAAATGCTAGTAACGTCATCACCTAATGTTGGTAAAGGACCAACCATATGTTAATTTTGAAAACGTTATAGGTAGTTATTTAGAATGTTTTAATATGTTAAGACTAATTTGAAATTATCTTAAAAGATTTGGTAGTTTTTTGTGCTCAACCGTTAAAATTAAACATACTTTTATTTTTTAATTTTCTGCCCTTGGGAGATAATAGATGATAAGTACCGACTAATTTGTTTGGCATTTGAAGAAAATTCTCGCATGGAGAAGGCATTTTAGGATAATAATTAAAAAAAATGGTAATAATTATTAGTAGAATGAATGAACGATAGTGAAAATAAATAAAAATGTGATGACGATATAGAATGATGGAGGAAGAAACAAAATAATCATACAAACAAGAAGAGAGGCTAAAAGGGGAGTTAGTTTATAAGTTAATTAAGGGTGAATAAGCTCATGAGCTTTCAAGTATACATTTTATATATGTAGTTGCATGCATGATACAATTGAATAAGTAAATGAATCAATAACTAGCATAATATGGGCTCGTTAATTGAAAGTGATTTTGGTAAAATTGATTTTGGGTTTCAAAAGCATTTGAAGTGCTTAAGTGTTTGTTTATGATCCACTTAAATTTTTACCAAAATTAATTCAAAAACATTTTCACAAAAAATACTTTCATTATTTTAAAAGTATATACAAATGAGCCATAAAATTGAAAGAAAAAAAGAGGTGCTATCAATTTTCAGTTTTGACAAATAGCCCCAGAAAGGTGGAAGTGAGGACAAGAAGTAGGAGACTAGATAAGCGCTTGGAGACGGTCACAAAAAGACTCTTGTGATTCAGCCGGCTCAACACTTCTATTCTCCCATCCGTTTAACCCCCTCCCCTCTTCCTATCCAATTTCCAATACAAACAAATATCCATTAATGTTATTTATTTTCCTTTTCATTCACACATTTTTGTGCCAAAAAAATTAAACCCTTTAATTAATTTTGTGCTCTCTCCCTCCAATATATTAGCACCTTCCTTGTCTCTTATATTTATATTATAATGGCCTAGTCACATCCATCATCTCCCTCCTTCTCTTCTCTCGCTCTGTGTCTATTTTTCTCTCTTACTCTATTTCCTAATTTGCTCTCTTTGGGTAAGAGAGAGAGAAAGAGAGAGACAGAGAGCCAGTTTAATGGCGAAAACCTCACAGCAAAACCAGAAGAATACTGCTGGAAGCACTAACAGGAGCAGCAGCACCACTAGCACTGTTACAACAACAAAAGTCAAGCGGACGCGGAAAAGCGTCCGCCGTGACTCTCCGCCCCAGCGGAGCTCCATATATCGTGGCGTCACGAGGTTATATCATATTCCTGGATGCACATTATAGTTAAATTTTATAGTTTCCATCATTTTCTTTTGCCTTTTCTTGTTGGGAGTTGGCCGGTTCTTGCTTCATTTCTGCTTTTAACTTAGGGTGATATATCACTGTTCAATATTATTGATTAATGTTGTTGAATTTAGGCATCGATGGACGGGTCGATACGAAGCTCATCTGTGGGATAAGAATTGCTGGAATGAGTCGCAGAACAAGAAAGGAAGACAAGGTAATTAATTTGGTTGTTCGTTTTCCTTAATTCTTTTTTGTTTTGCGGTTAACAACTTTCATTTTCTTGTGTTTTTGGTTTCCTGGTGGTGATGATGATATTGATGGAATTAATCCCAACTCAAATGCAGTTTATCTAGGTATGTCCCCATTTGAAAACAGCTTAATTTTCATTTTTTACTACCTTTTAATTCATAATTTGTTTTCTTTGTTGAGCAAGAAAATGGATCATCATTTAACTATATGAGGTAATATTTCAATATTTTTAGGGGCATATGATGATGAAGAAGCTGCTGCACGTGCTTATGACTTGGCAGCATTAAAGTACTGGGGACGAGATACAATTCTCAATTTCCCAGTATATTTTCTAACCCTACTGAAATTGGAGTTGGTGGATCCATCTCTGATCGAAAACATTTTTTTTAATTGATTATGTGATGTTATTTGCATATGAAATGGCATGAATCTACCTTAATTTTTATTTGTTTTTTTAATTGTAGGTATCCACATATGAAGAAGAGCTCAAAGAAATGGAGAGCCAGTCGAAAGAAGAATACATTGGATCATTGAGAAGGTGATAATTTTAAACTTGTATCTAGTATTTACTTTGATGATATATTATATACTACGATTTTTTTAATTTTAATTTTACTAATTTTTTATTAATTAACAGGAAAAGTAGTGGATTTTCTCGCGGTGTTTCGAAGTATAGAGGCGTAGCAAGGTACTTGTA